GGTAAGGCTCACAAAGCAGGCCTTGCGAGAACTAACCAGCACCCTGCGAGGAAAACATTTTGTTGTCATGTTGCTTACTGTTTTCTAATGCCGCCTCCCCCCACATGTCACATGTATATTAGCCGTTTAAGCAAACATAGTTGGTAGGGGGGCGTTCCAGTCGTAGTCGTCGTAGCCGTCGTAGCCGTAGTAGTCGTCGTCGTCGTCGTCGTAGTCGTAGTCGTAGTCGTCGTAGTAGTAGTAGTAGTAGTAGTAAAAGTAAAAGTAAAACGTGGCTTTTCGCATCACAGCTTTGTTTTTATTCTAAAGGTTACTACAACAATCCCCTCCCCACCCCAAGACTAGGACAATACCTCATATTTTGGACCGGTTGTCTGAGGTCAGCTCCCAGCCACCTCCACCAACTCTGCCAAACCCAACGGCAGCTCGCCTTGAGCTTGGGAAAGGAAGTGCTGGGGTGCGCTCCGTAGCTTGTGGGTTCGTGCTGGTCCTTCAGGGGGATTTCATCCTTATAATCATCTTTAGAATCCCCATAAATACCCTATGAGATTATCTACATCCACTCTCCCACTCCCCGTAAAGCCTAAGTAAGTCTTTGGAAAACCCTAAACCCTGAACCTGGTCTTGAGGGGGAATTGGATCCTTACCCTATAGCCTGACATAACCCTATAAACGTACTTACATGCACTTCCCTCAGCCTAAGTAAGTCTTTGGAAACCCCGAAATCCTAAACCCTATAACTCCCCACTCCCCTAAAGCCCAAATAAGTCGTTGGGCAGGCCCCGCTATCGCCGCGGACGCATCGCTTGGCCATGTCTGCCGTGTCGATGCAACGTGTCAAAGTCTCCCCATGCCTGGGCCACAGTCCAGTGGGGGGCTTCCAAAAATTGGGCGGCTTAAGGTTTCGGGTTTACAGTCTAGGGTTTAGGGTTTGGAGGGTAGCATTTTGGGATCTATATTGGGGCCCTACATGTGGAAACCTCCCAGTGTGTTCTGCGGTCGGAGGGAGCGCGCAGGAAATGCAGCAAAAGAAGATCTGGAGGTAAAGAACACCATCGAGAATTTTGGCTTCCTAGCCGCCCCGCAGCTCTGCGCGCCACTTGGTTGCAGTATGTTACAATGTCTTGCCACTTGCTGCGAGAGCCCAAATGCCTTAGTGAATCAGACAAACGCCTGTGTGTGTGGACCTGCAAAATCTTGGCTGAAGGCATTCGAACGCATGTTGTCAGTCTAAGATTGTTGGCACGCAAACACCGAGGCTCAGCCACCCAACCCAATTTTGTGGGTCATGTTCTGTGCGCTTCAGGATCCACTTCATCCTTCGGTGATGGAAGGGCACCGGGATTTCCGGACCAAAGACTTCGTGTGGAGTAGGCCGCCAACGGACTACAGGGCCAGCAACTGGTACATTGAAGCTTGGATTTTAATGGCCGGTGTGATAGTCCCTTCTGCTTGTCAGGTCTTGTGCCATGATCATGGTGGTAGGGATGGTCATCAGCGCTGTAGTGGTGCCAGTGGGTGCCGATGCAGGTGCTTACGGTGGTGCTTGCAGCTGCGGTGGTGGTGGGGGTGGTCGTCATCGTTGTGGCGTTTGTCGTTGTTGTCGTGGCAGCGGTGGCATTTTCCATCTGATTGATCTTGTCTCTTTTGTTGCTACTGTTTCGTTCTGGGTGTCCTTTCTCATCATAGTAATTCTTGACAGATATGCAGGCTTTTTTGCTTGCTCTTCCCTCCCTAAGTAAGTTGCCATAGGGTGGGATTTCAAAGCGAAGTCGTGAAGGTCGTCGGCAGCATCAACAAATCTGAAGTCTACGCCGATTCTATGCAAATTATAGATCCGCAGAACTCCCAAGCACTAACCTTGTCCTAAATCACGTTCGCATCCACGCTGCATCCTTCACGCACGATGAGCGGCAATTTGAATTGCCGCACTGGATGCCAACGGTTTTGACATGTTGGGCATGCTGCCACAAAGGAAAACCATTGGGCCATGCATAGCATGCGCAAGTCTGAGTCGGAGCCGGCAAAGGCCAGTTTGTAATGCAGCACAGTTGGTCAGTAGGTTGCCATGCCCTTGATGACTTTGATTGTGGTCAGCACAGGCGTGTGTGCATCTTTTTATTGCTGTGGAGGTCAAGCAGCCATGGACTAGCAGTGCGCAGTTCCAGTCATGCTGTGTTGGAGGCCTTCTTTGCTTTGTCGGCTCGCTTTATAGTGCTGGTTTCTCAAAGTGTGTCTGCCATTGGGTTTACGGCAATCTTTTTCGCACCTTCTTGCGAGCTTGCGAATCCTGATACGGATGACTTCAGAGCATCTGCACTGGAACAGTGAAGCGGCGTTGAAGCCTCGAAGCAGGTGTTGGCGGAGGCAGGAGAGGACGCAACAAAGGCCCGGGCCTGTGCTCAGCAGCGGTAAATTTGCGCAAGATGGTCGCCACTAGACATCCACCGCTGAAAGAACGCCACTAGGAGTAGCTGAGTAGGGCTTGCCCTTCTGAGAAGATCACAAGCTTCGTTGGATGCAATGTCCACAAGCCGCTGAACGGCTGGAATTCTCTCATCAGAAGAGTCTGACCGTAGGCTTCAAGTGATTCTAGCTCTGCACCCAAAGGCTCGTACGAAGATGACTTCGCAGCTTGCTCAGAGGGTTCCTTGCGCGCTTTTGTAGCCTCAGACGACTGGAATCTGCTTCTTTTTGGTCTCCTCGCATATATACCGTCATAGGTGTACATGTACATAGAAAGACAGGTATATAGAGAGACAAAGCGAGATATGAAAGTTTGCACCTTCCACAACCCACCCAAGGTTCCGCAGGGCAAGTATGTGCGCCCGGAGTTCGGCCTCTCCCAGTCCGATGTCACAAAGGCCAGGTCTGCTTTTGACAGACGATTCATCGGGTTTCCGTGAATAGGGGCCCAAACACAGACCCAGGTACATGTTTCCTGTATATATATATATATACATACGCATTTAAACCTTTGTTTGTTATGCGCAGGCCCCAAAAAGGGGCCCTCAAATTTCGGAAGCATGCTTCTGGTGGATGCAGGAGGCCGAGGAGATCATCAAGCAAAAGGCCCTTGAGAGGAAGTAGACGGGGCGCCTCCGGTCCTAGATTCTACCTCAAATGGCGCAGGCTACCTGGCTGTAGGGAACCAACACAAGCATGACGTAGTTGTGCCAGGTACAGTCCACCTGAACCAAAAAGTATCCCGCGCTGCTCCTGCAGCCTCAGGAAGTATTCACTTACTACGGCAACCATGCATTTGCCAGTCATGAGCTTGCCAGCCTGTTTCACTGCTCCCTCGCTAAACGGCGAGTTGGGGCTTGTGCGACGCGTTGTCTGTTCAAAAGTTCTCTTCCTCTAGAGCTTGATTCATGGTGCCGTCGTGCAAGTTCAGCTGCGCTAAATAAACAACAGCTTTGA